TTACATGCTAAGCAACACGGGCTCTTTTTGGCGGGGACAAAGCAAGTTCGACCAGTTGTGCTCGTCCCAGGTTCTGTCTCATGTCCGCCACACTCCCCTGATCTCCTGATCACACAGATGACAGTGAGGATACGGTCTTTTTGTTCCGGTGCTCCTCCGAAGGGGGATTGGTTGAACTTCTTCATCAGAGGAGCTCTCATTAGACACGTCCCGATCTATTCGCAAACTACCGCTATCGGAGTGATTGGTTGTTGAATCCAACTCTATGTATATTGGCTGTTCACTATCCTCTATGTCTTCGTCAGTTGTGGGATTTGAGCCCAAAAAAGGGCGCAGGTCTCTAACATGACGAGGCGTTCCATTGACCCTCACTGACTGCTGACTCACCACCTCGGTCACACGTCCGGTTCCAAATTTGGTCGTGCATTTACCACGTGGAGTCTTAACCCAGACAATGTCCCTTTCTTGTATTCCCCTCGGTTATTTGTGATTCAGGCGGGGCGTCATATCGATGCCTCTCACCCGGATGTGGTATGTGTGCAGTACATCAGCCGGTGCCGTGGAAGGTGAAATGTTGTCCTTAGGTGTGACGTTATGCCAGTAAACCGCTTCCAAGACTGAACAATTTTTCCTGGCCGCTATGGTTTTGATGCTTTTTGTGGTTGTGTTCCACAATGCCATTTCCAGACGGCACGTAAGCGCACTGGAACCTCAAATGCACGCCCCCAGCTGTTTATTTAATTCCCTAAATTGTCTGCAAGTGAACGTGGTGTCATTGTCAGTCAGTATTTCAGCCGGGCGGGCCTCGTTCATAGAAGACTGTCTCTAGCTGATTAATGACACCAGCAGAGTCTTTGCCGCCTCAGTGGCCGCCATACTGCAAAACGGGAGGGACCACAGTCAATGAGCGTGAAGAAAATGGCTACCATTGCAATGGGTTACGCCCATTGCTAACCTGCTCCAGTTTTTTCTCATACTCAAATTTCCTTTCTTCCAATGCACTGGTGCTGGATCGATCGATTGGCAGGCTTCACAGGTTCTAACGACAGATTTTACCAGTTCCTTAGACACCGTTGGATCTACAGTCCTAGCAAAGTACATTGTTCTTTTAACACCTGGGTGCCCACTCTGCTGGTGGATGTGGGTCACCTGACGTTTGCTCAACTGGCTCGTTGCAGTGACACAACTCGCTTGCACCGGTTCTCCTCCTTTCTTGTGCATCTCCAACCAGCGTTGCGGCACTCTGGTGAGGCTGTCAGCGCCGGTTCTGACAAGATTTCACCAACGCCACAGTCATAGTCAGTGCGCATCCTCCACCAAAGCTCGCAGTGTCTCTAAGAGCCGCCTCATCAGCATTTCACCCGCCATTTTCGTGTTCACGCGTCTTTCCTGTCAGGGTGTCAGACACCCACCGATGCACACATGCTGAATTGGTGACCACATGCATAACTGGTGCCTGCCACTGCAGGGCAAGATTCACGCCTTGATCACCGTGATCAAGCTCAGCAAGATTAATGTGTTTGGCATCATTGGTTGGACATAACCAGCAAGCATCTTCCATGATGCTCCCATTCACCTCTAGTGCTACTCCCATGGCCACGGAGCTTGCATCCACCCAAACTGTCATTTCATTGCCGTTCACACACCAGTCTCCACCGACAGGATCTGATTCCCGCACTCTGGCCACTGTTTCCTCCAGCATACGTCCAAGAGGGGCATCCTTTATCTCGTCATCCCATCCTTTGGTTAGTGTACTTGCATAATGTTTTAATAAATGCAGTTGCCACCCTAAGCCAACCGCACAGGGAAATGACCCACGAAGTTTCCAAAGACAAGGAAAATACGCTTCGGCGGGTCACCATTTGAGCAATTTCTGAACCTGACCTCCCCGCTTCCATCGAAGGGAGTTGCTTTCTTCCCAGACTTGCAGATCCAGGACCTTAGTTCCGTCTCTCAATCGCCCGGATCTTTACAGACTAGCCCGTAATCTGCAAAGTGCTGTCTCGCGCTGCAGAAACTAGGCCTTCATTTATGAAGATATCGTCGACGATGCCGACGTGGCACTCTTAATGTCCTGATCCTGGGACGTTATCATGTCGATCACTGACTTCATGACAAGTGGTGCCACATTCGGGCCAAAAGCCAAACGCATAAGGCAAAACCGCTTGCCCTTAATGACCACTGTTTGAAATGGCCATAGCGATTTGTCAATGTGAATCTGTAGGTACGCATTTCTCAAATCCAACAACGATAAGTCAGCTCCTTGTCGCCGCCATTCTCGTAATTTCTGTGCACACACCTCGCGTCAGCCGTGAATGCGACTACAAAACCGTTCTACTCCTGACAGTCAAGTACCGTCGGACCTTCTGTTTGTGTTCTTACGACCGCCATTAAGGGAATTAATCCCTTGGGTGGGCCTTTATGTGGCACCGAACTCATGTCCACCACACAAACTTAGCATTTTGTAGTGACACACATATCCAATTTGTAACAGAAAACTTACAAATTTTATTAACCATGTCAGTTGTGAAAAATTATGAAACTTCTGAATTTTTATTAAATTAATAACTGATTTTAATGTTTTATTTTCTTGATTAATTAATCAATATAATTCATGTTTGTAAATGTATATTCTTGTTTTAAAAAACACTTATTTAATATTTTCATCTTGAACTTTTAGTCTTATGTATCATTCTGTAAGAAAAAGTTTCACTTGAAAGTTTACATTGACTAACACACAAAGATAGCAGTTATAAAAACCACTGATAAACATGGATTCATTGAAGTCATCATAAAAATATTTTATTAAATTATTAGCAATGTTCAGGACAAACAACAAAAATACTGTCTTTCTGGTGTTCTTAAATAACTTACATGTTTAAAGTGTACCATGCTTAGTCTATCAAATGTGGTTATATAGTCAAGTTGATGGGCATCTTGAGGTGGTGTAATGATTAGCAAGCTTGTCTCACTAGAACAAGTAGAATGAGTAGTGAGTTCCTCACTGGGTGCCCCCTTACTTTCGACCTTGTGCCACATCTGAGCTATGCTTGGAAAAATCACTATGTAGTAAAGTTGATGAGATCACATCGCATAGTAAATACATTCTAAAATATATAAAAAGCATATTTTTGCAATAAATTCCAGTTATAAACAGCTACCTTACACTATTTTGAGGATTATGAGAATTTTCCAACTCAAGAATGTGATATGAAATTTTTAATGTGTGCTGTATCAAAAGATTGATTATAAATTTGTTTCAATTATTTATTAAAAAATAGTTGCAATATAAAAACAAACATTTTGAACAAATGGCTTGGATGAAACAATGCTTCTGTAAAGGAACTAATTACCAATAAAAGGTGCTATACAAAAAAGTGAATGGAAAATGTCAAAAGTGTTTCTTACAAATCCTTCCTTGATAGTTGAAAAAATTCACATTCAGGAAAGAAAAATTTCTTTGTACCTTATTTTTATTAATTAGTTCCGTGTTAAGTAATAGATAAAAATTATCCTGTTAGTTTGTTAGAGAAGTTGCTATCTTAAAAAGCTTCCTTTCAATTTTGACAGTTTAACCAAATTTTCACTTTTTGAAATGTACAATATATAATGCAATTCCTAGAGAAAAAAGTTCTTGCCTGAGAATTTGAAAGAAATTAGTATTTATAAAGACAAATACTGGAATATCTAAACAGAAATATTCTCAAAAGTGTAAAACAAAGTGATATCCACTTTGCTTTAGATTTTGCATAATAATTTTGAAAAGGAAATTAGTGTAAATCTGACTTTTCTATTTATGATGATCACCTTTAAAACTTAAGTTGTATTAATGACATTGTTGTCAAACAGTGCTAGCAAAGATTTGCAGACTTTTCTTGACATTATAATTAAATATGTAACTGAAGTTGGATTTTCATTAATGTCTCAAAAACTAAATCATAAAGCAACTGACAAGAACAACCAACCTAAGCTATCCTTAAGCTAACAAGCTTTGGAATTAATTTATCTAGGCCAGTGGTTCTCAACCGGGGTCTACATGGACCCTAGGGGTCCATGTAATATTTCCGGGGGTCCACAGGCAAAACTCAATTGTTGTGTTAATTAAAAATAGTAATAATAATTATTATTATAATTATAGTAGAATATTTTATTTGTATTAAATTAGTTTTCATTTAAAAATAAAGCTTAATCGTATACTATTTCTTTGATAATTAAAACCTTAAAATTTATATTAGTGAAGAATAGAAAATTGTTCTTATGTCCAATAGCTATGAAGGGGTCCACCAAGATAAAAAGAAGGGGAAAGGGGTCCTTGGTTAAAAAAAGGTTGAGATCCACTGATCTAGGCCATAAGTTGTCATGCAAAAATGATGAGAGAGTTGCTGTTTGTTCAACATAGGATCAGTTTAAGTTAGGCTGCCTTTGAGAAGAATACTAATATCCAATCAGATACCTTATACCATCAAATGTAAGATCTATAACATCTCCATATTATCTATTGTTCTTTATTTAATCAAACACGTCAAATTTTTTTTTTGGGGGGGAGTGTCCACATTTTGGCAGTCATATTGCATATAAAATTTATTCTTATGCTATGGTTATGCCCTGTTTATAATAATTTTTTTTGTTAAATTACTATCTTGTAAAATATTGGTTTCAATATGCCAGCTCTTATATATATGTATATATATATATATATGGTTGTGTGGTCTCCCTCCAGATAACACTGGTAATAGGTTTACCAGTAGAATGACTGAAAACTATTCTACAGAAACAATGTAAGATACATTTGTTTTTTTTTATTTGTATTCATATTCTTTTTTTGCTATTATAAATAAACTTTTTTTTTTTTAATGAATTCACTGTAATTGTATTGTTGGCTAACGAAATGACCAAGGAATAAAAGCAGCTAGTCATCACCTTCCCCAGCAACAAATTTATTCTAATTATTTAAATCTTTTTGTTAGACAAAGTCAAAAATTTACAAGGTAATTACTTACCATCCAAATCAGCACTAGTACGAGTGCCAGCAGAGGAAGCCACTTTGAGAATGGGGACTGGTTTAAGTGTAGACATTGGCACAAGTCCCTGGCTAGATTCTCCTACCTCATTGGGTAGTGTTCGAACCAGGCACCATTCAGGCTGACCTGCAGGGCACACATCCACTAGCTCGACTTGCTGGCCTTTTTGGATACTAAGTTCTGAGGTAGATGTGGCTGAATAATCCTCAATGACAACTGTTACATCAGAGGAACACTGAAAAACAAAAACATTTAAAACCGAGTGAAGATGATTTTGAATTATGCTTTTTTATGTTAAACCGAGAAAAAGAATTTGATTAAAAATTTAAATAAATTTGATGTCTTTGGTTTATTAAAAAATTTACAACCCTACAAACAATGCATCAGAAACTTTAAATACTATTCAGGAAATGAAAAAAAAATGAAGTTATAAAAGCAATTTTTTTTTTATTTACTGTTTATAATTATAAAATAACATTCTACAAAAAAACAATTCTTCATTAATATAGTTGTGTGCATGTAAGCATGAGACAGACAAAGCATGTCAGATAATTAGCTACTTCAAATCTAAAGCTTCATTTCCGAAAAGATGACACCAGCTATCTGCAAAGTTGAGAAGAAAGCAAGTTCATTCTGCAAATAGTTTATAAATAGTAACTTTTTGTATGAAATGCCCTGAATTTCTAAGTCTCAAATTAATAGCAACAAAATGTAAAATTGAGTTGATGAATAAAGAGAAATAATAGCTTCAGAACGTGTAAAATGTACAACAGCAATTGGAAATTGCAAAATATGATTGGCAGGTAGCACTGAACTATGAAGAAGTTCATTGAAGACCCTGGATAACTGATGCTGGTCTGATAAGATTAAAGTAAAGACCTTATGTCACTTATCTTTGTCTCGTGTCAAGAGAGAAGTTATAAAAAAATCCATCTTTATCAAACTATGAAATTTTTAGATGAAAAAATGTTCAAAAGCATAAGATATTAGGGACCTAAATCAAATGGAAGCACAGGATCACTAAGTCTTAAAAGATCTCTAGAAGGAAAATCTAATAAGATGGGTAATAGAATATATAAAGATTGATTTTTCAACCCTTCTTTTCCCTAGCAAATGCCATGCTACCCTTGATGAGCCAAAACAAGGGAGCAAATGCTGGATGGCAACTAGCAAAAATGGCTCACACAGGTTAAGATGTCAACAAGAGAGTGGGTAGTGTAATATTTTGATATTTCAATTGAGAGCAAAGATTTTTAGTTTCAGTTTGGGTTTTGCTGCTGTAGTTGGTTTAAGAATTTTTTTTTTTCTTTTTACATTTAAAATAACTAAGTTATTTAACTCGAATAAGCATAAGATTTATTTTATTTAAGAAACCGGGTCTAATGGTTGTTACCTGGAAGTTAATATTCTTCTCTATGAAGTTTTATTCATAAAAGTAAATACACTAATCGTCGACTTTATTTTTGCATAACCTGTATGTCTGTTTCTAACAAATGAAAAAAAGTATGAATTTTTATCATGCTTCTTACACTGAAATATAATATTTGAATTTTAATTTAAAGAAATAATTTATTAATCCTATTTTTTTTAGTCTTTCTTATTACAAATAGTAAAGCATGCCATGATTTGAAGCCGTATATGAAACAATGTTCCAAGAAGCCAAACATTTTCAAAAAGATTATATTTATGGCCAATAATGCTATACCACATTCAGTGAAGAAAACTAATATCTAAATAAAATGCATTTTGAAGTCAACAGCTTGTTTGCTTCTAATTGAAAACTTGTAGAGCATTCTAAATGTATTTTAGTGGATGGCAATTTACCAGAAAAGATGAACTTTGGAATGCTGTGTAATCTGTTTCATATGAAGAAATACAACATCTCACAAAAATTAATGGATGAACAAATAAAACTAGTTTTAGAATACAGAGTGTACATTTCACAGTTTAGTATTTTATAGTCACTAGAATATTTTACAAGCTGACAAATGTTGAAATCCTCACAGTATTTAGTTTTGTTGAAATTATTGCTAAAATTTCTGTTGAGATTTACAAACTCTACATTTCATTCAACTTCACAAACCAATCAATGAAATTTGAATAAACTGATTTGTTTGGAAAAATATTTTTGATAAAACCCCTACTTTGTGGTTTAATAATTTCTTTAATTTTATAGGACATCAGTATAAACAATGTTTTTTAAAGAAAATTTTTTTTCTCTTTTTCCTAACAATATTGCATTTTTATTAAAAAAAAGTACTTGTTATTTTAATTAAATTATTTTTAGAATAAAGTATTTTGTATGTTAAATAATAAAACTTAATTTTTCCAAAAAATTAATGAAAATTTATTGTACTAAGTTATGCACCCTAGTAAAATCAACTGTACTTTGTACCCCCATACCTGTTTGCACTTCTCCAGAAAATTTGGTTTTGATCAGTCAACTATTTTAGAGGGTGTGATAGATGAATTAATGGAAGTCACGGAATTTTATATATAAATAGATTACAATCTTTTTTTTTTTTTGTTCAAAGAATTTTTATTTCCTTTGTAAACTTTGCAATTATAATTTTTAATTACAACAATGTTTCTTGGAATTTCAGTCATCAGGTTAATAAAGTAAACATTGGAAAATCTAGTAAAATTCATAAAATTGTTGTTTCATCATGGAAGTGATATGCAAGCTACTATAATTTATACATAATCTGTGAAACATCCAGCAAATTAATAGTGCAAATGTTTCCATGAATCCCTTCATTAGTTTTTTAAAAATATAGAAAAATTCATCTTGAGAGGGACCTAAACAGATTTCAATCAATCATGAATCATTGTAATAAACTACTAAAAATAACAATACTGAAGATGTACTTTGGAGGCTTTGTATAAAACACTAAAAATAAATTTCTCATTTCAAATCCTGTTAAATTTATCAAATATAAATCACTGAATTAAAAATGTTGCCAATTACCAGATATGGCAGTGAATAGCATAATGGTACAAAAGAGGAGGAATGTACAGATTGCTAGATAATTGGCTTTTAACAGAACTTTTGTGACATGCCATTCCTATGCTGTTCTTTTTAAGATCAAGTGTGTGAAACGACTGTCAGAGAATATATTCTTTAGATGCAGTTTCAAACAAAAAGCTGCAGAAAGAAGCACGTGACATAGGCGTGTAAGTTATCTCAGAGTTATCACTGTTGAGATTAATTCCACAGCATACACTCTATACTTCTGTACACTGGCCAAGTTTTAAAACAGAACAAGGCACTGTCTACTGATATCTGTCCCGCCCCATCCTGTATTTATATTCAGATAACTCTGCAGTAAAAACATTAGCAACAACTTAAAATATGTAGTTATACAACTGGCACATAAAAGAAAGTAGGAAGAACACTGAATAAACTTTTAAATTATTGATATACATAGAAATTTATAAATATCAGTTTTGCTCTATTTCAATTCTTAAAAACCACTGGTTACAAAATTATTTATAAAGCTTTTTTATGAAACTAAAAAAATGATGCATTCAAATTAAAAGGCATACATAATGTAATAAGGGTTAATACAAGAATTTTTAGATTAAAATGATGTATATTTTAAATATATCAGATTTTAAAAAAAGAAGCATTTAAAGAGTTTAAATAAATATAATAAATATAAAGATGAGGATTGATTGAAGCAGTTGTAAGTTATGTCCTTAAAGTTTAAAGCACAACCTTTATTTTTCTTTAACAATGTTATTTCAGTATTTTTTTTATATACTACACAACCATGTGATTTTCAAGAAAGAAAGAATATAAAATGGCTCAAAGTGGTATTAATGACTTTTGGTAAAAGAGAATCATTAAAAGTTGTCCAGTTGAAATTTTGTAAAAATCTTCCAAAATTTGTAGGATCAACAATGGTCAATGTATTTGTATTTCTAAAGCTGCATGTATAAGAAAACTAAAAATAGCCAGATTATTTGGATAATACTTTATCTACATGTCTTATGATAGAATTATGACATCAATAAATATAAAGTGTTCAAAAAATGATGTCTAAAACACTGACCTAGTATAAACTATTGAAATAATTTCTGTAAAACAGTTCAACCAAATTGGTCAAATTTTTTTTAAACTTTAAGAGATTCAATGAAAATAAAGAAAAAAAATGAAGAGTAGAGAGGAAAGCAATTCAATGATATTTAGAAACAATACTTGTACATGTACAATTTTTAAAATCAATTCTTTTCAATAACGTTTGAAAAATTAAATTGTATAACAAAAATGTAGTTTATAAAATACTCATAGCCATATAAAATGTACAAATAAGAATTTTATTCTATCAAGATTTTTAGGAATTATATAGATTAATATTTTTTTTTTCAAAATAGTCTTCAATTTTATTGAAGAGATAAACCTAAATTCATATGCTCAGTGTTAAATTTTATTAATATATTCATATTTATAAACATTTTGTGTATATAACTACACCAAGAAACAATACCCCCAAAAGTGGTTTCTCTTACTTTTTTTGTTTTTGGCGATATAGAGTTTAGACAAAAACAAGTGATAAATTATCAAAAACAAATTAGAAATTGAAGATGGCACCAAGTGAAATAACTTGTTTATTTCAAAATCTATTTAAAAATGTGCTAACAATATGGATATTATGATAACACATTGGAAATAAAAAGGATATATCCATGCTTTTTATGCTCATCTCTAATGATAAATGTTCTAAATAGTAGAGACAGGATTTCTGCTTTCGATATAGAAAGTTATAAAGTTAAAGAATGTATCTAATATATTTCCAGCATTTTATAAGTGCTAATTTTAATGAAAATGTAATTATGGTCACAAAAAAAAAAAAAAAAAAAAAAAAAAAAAAATTGAACAATCTAAAAATTGCATCACAAAAACAAGAAAAAGAAAAGCATGACTTTTGGACAATAACACACATGAATATTTTCAACAAAAAGGTTACTAAAATGATAATGAAAAACATCTTGTCTTATTGATCAAAGATTTACTTAAATAAGCAAAGGAAATTTAAAAATAGCTTTTGAGATAAATACATATAGTTATAATTATTTAATAAAAATATCCTATTTTTTTTTTTCATTGGGGGAAAGAGGTAGTTAAACACAGTATTACTTCCTGAATATAACATCCTCATAAATTTAAGATATATATAGCTAAGCTATTGTTGTTTTAGGCAGATATAATAGAAAAATTTGTCCTCAATTAAA